ATATTAAGTGGGGGCAAGGATGGAAGGATAAAAGTACATTCATTCACAGCAAACAACCTCAAAGCTTATAATCTTATACCAAAGCGCCAGAAAAATATATATTCACAGGTATTATGCTAAATTTGATTATATTTACCATGATTAAAAAATCACATGATTTTTTCCTTTTATAATTCTTTTTTATTTTAGCAATAAAATTAAAGGGTAGGTCAAATAATTTTTTTTTCAAGTCCCAGAACGTACCATTCTAAAATTTCAGCAAACTATATGCTGTATTGCAATGTCCTCATTTGTACACTGAATAAATGGAGACCAAATCCCAGCAAAATTGTCTTTTCTCTTAAATCCTTTCACTATATGTATCTCAACTGCTAATTTTTCGGAAAAACCAACAGATCAAACAATAAGTATACAGGACTGAAGATCAACAGTTTTTAGTTATTTATAAATGGGCTGCCAGCAGCAGTAAAGAAATATATATTTGTAATTCGTTACCATCATTCATGAATACAGAAGAAGTTCACAGTTTCCAGATACAGTGACTTGTAGGTCTGCCTCACAAGCCACTCTGAGCCAATTATTTCATTGAATAATTGAAGCTGCTCCTGGGACTGCACCAGACCATCGTGCCTACACCCAGAAGGAGCCAAAGACCATCTGCCGGCCATTAAGAGCCTCGTGGCGCAGTGGTTAAAACGCTGTACTGCAGCTAAAACTGTGCTCACGACCTGGGGTTCAAATCCCAGGTAGCCGGCTCAAGGTTGACTCAGCCTTCCATCCTTCCGAGGTCGGTAAAATGAGTACCCAGCTTGCTGGGGGGGCAATGTGTAGCCTTTATAATTAAAATTGTAAACCGCCCGGAGAGTGCTTGTAGCGCTATGGGGCGGTATATAAGTCCAATAAATAAATAAATAAATAAAAATTCAATCCATAGAAGATAAAACTGCAGAGACTTGGCAATCTGCTTGCTTTGCCAGAGAAAGGGAGTAGTTTTCAAAAGTAGCATGGCATTAACATTTGCTAGAACTGTAAATAAATTATTAGAATTTTCAAACTGAAAAAAGAATGCTGATGATTCTTGGTAGCCTGGACTCTAAAACGGTATGGAGGATATTTAGCACAATTCAAATAATAAAACTGTAAAATATCTACTTTATGCCTTTTGAAACAAATTGGACAACATTTCCACCAGTTTGTTTTAAAGTTGACTTAGTCATAGCCTTAATTCTATATATCACTCTTGCACGCCTTTAAATAGGGTCATTATCACCTGAGCCAGACTGAGGATGGTCCAAAACCAGACAGAAGCTATGGGACATATACGGCTTACTTGCACCTCATTTTGATTATGTCTTTCAAAAAGGGGTTTTCTAGTTTTGTTAATATACTGCATTTTAAAAACAGCATTGAAAAGGAAAAGAACAAGGGTTTCTTCTTTTCCATACTAGTCCATGGAATGGACCATCATCTCACAGGATTTCCTTATTTTACTTATTTGACTAAACCCATATAGTTTCTTCAGCTAAAAGTATTTTAAGAATGTCAAGGCTGACAGCATGAAAAAATAATGCAAGTGGTCTCGGGAAACATGACAAGGAGGAAGCGTCATTCAAGAAGTTTCAAAGCTGCCCTCAGTATGTTGCATTAAATATAATATTTGTGCTATACAGTTCTTCTCCCTTCTTGTGGGATGAAGAATGGTTCCACTACAGTGGTGCCTCGCATTACGTTAATTCGTTCCAGCGAGAAATTGCTGTAGAACGAAAATGTTGTAAAGCGAAAATAAAAAGCCATTGAAACACATTAAAACCTGGTTAATGAGTTCCAATCGGCTAAGAACTCACCGTCCAGCCAAGATCCTCCATAGGGGCAACCATTTTCGGGTGCCTGTGCAGTGAAAAATGGCTCCTAAACACAGCGGGGAGCCATTTTGAGCGCCCGGTGGCCATTTTGAAAACCCAACGATCAGCTGTTTTGATTGTCGGGAAGCGAAAATTGGCTCCCAAAACAGGGAACTGATCATCGCGCAGTGAAATTCCCCCATTCAAAACGTCGTTTTGCGATCGCAAAAACCTCGTAATGCGGATTCATCGCTAAACGGAGCGCCCGTCTTGCGAGGCACCACTGTACTTCCATTAGATGGTTAAGAGTTATTCTTTCCAGGACTTTATAAACATCACAAAGTAATGAGACAGGCCTTAAGTGTTTTGAGTTCTTCCCTTGGTCACAAAACAGAAATCACTCGTGCCTCTCTTCAAATTTTTGGAATCCTGTGAAGGCAATTATTTTAAAAACTTAAGGTGCTACTTCTTTGTTACTATTGCAACATGTTCTATCTGTTCTACGCAGATGTCATCCAGGCCTGCTGCCTTGCCATTTTTGCAGCTATAGTTTTTTTTCCAATTTGTTTAAGCTAAGTGTTCTTTTAAGGTCATTGGTTTCTAGTTGCTTGCTTCTTAAGTTCTAATTCCCTATGGTGATGTTCAGATCTGCCATTAATGAGGAGTTGATGGGCTATCTGATTTACTGAAATATTTGCATGTGTGAGGCTTTTAGTTTGGCTTCTGTTAAGCCACTTTTATGATCTCCTGGCCTTTTGATTGCTTCTTCACTTGTTCATTTCTTCCATGGGCTTTATCCAATTATCTTTTTTAGTTGTCAACACTGAATAAATTAATCACTCCCAGCCAACATGGTTTCTTTGCTCAAGGGATTTTGTTCAAATAGTGAAAAATAATTACGCAGCTGGGTGATTATTTCCAGTGTTATACCTTGGAATTACCTTCTCAATGCCTCAACATGGCTGGGCAAATGTTTGAAATTATTCCATCGCATGTTGTACTGAACTACTTTCCAGTTGGCTTTTAAAAAATTATATCTCCTATGGAATTGTGCTGTTGATGGTTGGACTGCCATGAGTTGGCACATTATGAGCCAGTGCTGTATAGTTGGAACTGGGGTAAAGACTGACTTCATGTTGGCTCAGTATCCTATATCAAGTCTAGGGTTATAGCCACATTCCCATCTCTCACTACTAAAAGACAGGGGAAGTTTGCTATCATGAATAAAGTTTGGTTAGGATGTAGCCACCCATTTCAGCATAGTCTCTCCACTGTTATCATCAACGTGCATATACTCAAATACTGCCGTAGCAACTGAAGTCTCTGATTATAAAATTAATTTTTTCTTATGAAGTTTTTTAAAGGAAAAGGTTGCATTAGGTGGTTTATAAATAGAGGATATCGTGCAATTACTTAGCACCACTGTTATTATCTCTACATCATCCTGTTGTGTGACAGCATTAGACAAGCCTTGGAAATGAGGCTCAATTAATATAGCACTACCATACTGTCTACAAAATCTCTCAGCTGCAAGTCTGAAGTTGGATATTTTGAGTTGTCACTGGTAGCTGTTTCTATGTGTTTCCTGAATACAAAGCATATCATAGTCACGTCTGGAAAAACGTATGCAGCAATTCATCTTTAGGTGTTGATGAGTCCTCCATGTTAATAGAAATTATGGTTAGCTTTGGTGCTGACAAGTGCTCCGCTCTGCAGCCCGCTCTGCCTCTCGCTAGGACAAGGCGGGAGGCAAGGAAGGGGCGAGGCCTTGCTGAGGTGATGCCTTGCTGAGTTTTTTTTTCCTGGGCTTTCTTTTTGTCTCCTGAGCACATGGCCTGGGGGTGGGGCCTAGGGGTGGGACTTCCTGATTTAAAAGAGCGTGTCCCAGGACCGCGCGCCGTTAATATGGAGAAGGAAAACTCCAGTTTCAAACCTCCACTGCCTTGTGGCTATATCCACTCATGGAAAAGGCTTCAGGAGTTAACCTCGAGGCAAAATCCGGAGCTGGAGTCCCGAAGGCAGCATGTGTCGTTCTGCCAACTCCTGCAACATTGCTGGAACCAGTTGTATTGGCTCTTGCCTTTCCATTGGACCATTTCAGCAATGTGGAGAGGGGGGATCTGCTGCTTGGGTAACAGCCTATCCTCCATATTACCTTACCCGGGCTTCATGCTCTGGAGAGGACACTCCTCGATTCAGAGCATGTTACCATAGTTTCTCGAGACTGAAGGATGCCTATGATGATGACAAGTGCTTTTTTGATATTAGTGGCTGACTACTTGCAGATCATTATCAAAGTCATATAAATCAAACTCATCCCGTGCTGTTGATACCATCTCATGTTAACGTTTCTGGATAGGAAGGATCAAAAAACAAGAGTCGTCATGGACTCTTGCTGCAGGAACACACAAAGGGGTGTTCACATGAAATCAGCCCTAGATTAACCCAAAATCGGTCACAAACTCTATTTTTTTTTTTAGTATAGTGAAGAAAAGACCTGACAGTAGGCATCTGTGTAAAATTACTATTACCTATCTCCCATGCAAACCTGCTTTTGCTGGAATCCTAGCATCAGCACTGCCCCTTGTTACTGACCCTATCTAACAGGGATAATATACTGTTTAACAGCACTGACGCAGTCACTTTCATGCAGAAAGTTCCCATGCAGAAAACAATCTGCCTTGCATTAGTCATTTCAATTTATATAACTGATGCACAGAGAAAAATACTCCTTACTTTGTGTTTTATGGGGCTTACCTTTGCTCCTTTTTTGCAGAGCAGAGAAACAATGTTCATATGACCTGCAGCTGCCGCATAGCAAAGTGGGGTCATTCCATTCTCAGATGCACCCTCAATTGAGGCACCAAATTCCAGCAGGAGAAGGACTACTTCTTCATGACCAAGGTGAGACTGAACACATAATATTGGAGCATTGTTGAGAACCTCTGTCCTGTAGTTTATGTTGGCACCACCCAAAATCAGCAGACGACTCACCTAGAAGGTTAAAAAACCACACACATCACAACCATTGTGTTTAGAAATTGGAAGGAGTAGATTTGCATTCCCCATGATGTTTCTGAAATATAATTCTGCTGTACACGATTATCACACATGAACTTCCAACTGACAGATGAAATGGATACAACACCTTCCACAGTCACTTCATGTGATTTATCATGGGATAATGGAAAATAATGTCTTTTGAGTCACAAAAGATATGGACTATATCCAAAGGTTGTATAGCTCCCTTGGTTCTGTTCAGTTCCCTAAAACCCTCAAAGGGCTCCCTAGAAGTAGTCACTAAACATTGTGGGCTGTATCTCACATGGCTATGGTAGGAGGAGTGAAGAACAGCCCAAAATTTAAAGGAGCAATCCTGCACAAGCTGAAGTGTGGAGGAAAGAAAGAGAAACTTAAGTCATAGAAGCTGTATTTGACTTGCACAACCAATAGAGAGAACCCTACATATGTACATTAGTGTGCTTTTGGCTCATATAAATCAGCTCTCACATCTCAAAGTACTCAGGATACAGCACAATACTTGCTCCCTCAATATCACATTCTGATCTACAGCAACACAGTGATATCATAACTGTCTAGACTAGAGTACATTTGAGCATCAGCACAGGCAGGATATATCTTTATAACATGCTAGCAGAATTTCATCACAATGGAACAAGGGAGATTGGTGCCATCTGGACATAAATTAACATCTGTTAGTAACATCATGGACACCAAATTGTTGCATTATTATCTAGTTGAGCAATCATGATTCTTATATTCAAAATCACTTCTAAAGCAACTCAATTGTACATAAAAAGGAGCTTTCAATTATGCTTCACTCCCTATATTTGCCATCACATAATTACAGATTTATATCCACATAGTTAAAGATCTCTTAATGTACAGAGGAAATGAAAATTATGTGTTGGTTTTTGGGTTTTTTCAAATCAGCTTCTTTTTTTTTTAGAAAACAGCTTTCTGAATCTTAGCCAACTGCCAGGCTCACCTATAGCAGAGCCACTGAACCAACCGCTGAATGGCTAAGTCAACACTTAGGTAAATAATAACGATTTAATGGATCCAACCTAGCTGGGATAAGCAATGAGATTTAGACTCTTCCCTGTATCCTTCACCATTCAAGCTCTGGCCCTAGATATCTGTTGGGAAGAGTGAAAAGGGTGGAGATGATTACTATTTACAAGATGGAGGAATTCAAAGAGGATTGTAGGAGAAGGAGTGTGGCCAGACAAGGGAGGTTTCAGGCAATACAGGGTAAGGCTGGTATGTTGTTAAGTAACTGATGTTTACGGAAAAGGCAGATGGAGTGGTTGGCTCTGGGTGGGTGAAATAGGGTGGACAGAACCCAGATTATTTTAAATATCTTCTGTAGTTAGATTTTTTAAAACCATTTATTCACTTACTGTATATCTATTAGGTAAAGGTTCCCCCTGACAATTTTTGTCCAGTCATGTTCGACTCTAGGGGGCGGTGCTCATCCCCGTTTCCAAGCCATAGAGCCAGCGTTTTTGTCCGAAGACAATCTTCCGTGGTCACATGGCCAGTGCGACTTAGACATGGAACGCTGTTACCTTCCCACCAAAGTGGTCCCTATTTATCTACTTGCATTTGCATGCTTTCGTACTGCTAGGTTGGCGGGAGCTGGGACAAGCGACGGGCACTCACTCCGTCGTGTGGATTTGATCTTACAACTGCTTGGTCATCTGACCCTGCAGCACAGGCTTCTGTGGTTTAGCCCAAAGCACCACCATATCTATTATATTATAGTTAATAATGATATACATGGTATCAGTGACAGTCTGCCAGATATGCTACTTCTAGCCTACCAAATTTTTGTGGCAACCTAAGTTCCAAATGGGCTAAGACCCACTTGGCCATGGAAACCCACAGGGGGAGCAGATCTGGTAAAAGCTCTCCTTAAGTATCTCATTTACTTTGAAAGCTCTGTTAGGGTCACTAAGTTGGCTCCGACTTGATGGCATAAAACAACGAAGTTCTACCAAGCAGAAACCTCTTCCTTTCTAAACTCACACAACTCTCCACTGTATGAGTGGTTGTAATTTGTAATTTGAGCATTTGTCACTCCTCTGCATGAGCAAAAGCCCTATGGCTTTAAGCAAGCTTGTGTCCACAGGAACTTTGGGAAGCTGGAGGTCTGTCCTGCCTGCCAACGAAAGGATACTGGCCACTGAAATCCATGGGGATGTTTAGTTGTAATGAATTGAAATCTTTTCACTTTTTATGGAACCCACCAAGGCTTCATTAACTTCAGCAACAAAGATGTCAGGCTGCTTTTCTATAAAAATTAAGAAACATTTTGCTCAGTTTCCAAATTATAAATATTCATTTTCTTCATGGAAGTTAACTGCTATTTACACTTTGCATCAAAAATCATGCTATGTTTTGGAAGTTTGGTCAACTTAACCTTCACACCACCTTTTAAAGCCAAAGCTTCCATGCCTTCCCTCACTGTTGATGATTTGTCTTCTTTATAGGAATACCTTCGGGAACGTAATCAGTCTTTTTTCTGATGCAGCCTACAAAATCGCCTTTGCTCCCAGCTTGTCTCAATGTGTAACTGTTTCCTATTATGATAAGAAGTGTCTGTAACAGAAATTTGAAATATAGATAATACATTGCTCTCTTACCTTTACATTTGGAGTATACAGATTGCGCAAAGATGCAAGAGCTGCTGACAAACTATCAGTGCTATAGCCAATCCACAAGGCTTGAAGATGGCTGGAAGAAACCCCAGTCTTTTTACTAAGTCCCTAGAAAACAAAACGAAATAACAACATTAACAGATCAAATAACATGAAGTAAGCTGATGTTTCTTCTCAAAAGATGAGAGTTAGTGGGGGAAAGGGGTTGTTGCACAATTAAAGTAAGAACATTTTTTTAAATCAAGGAAAAAGTTATCACAACTTAATAATAATAATAACAACAACAATAATAACAACAACAATAATAACAGACTAGTATTTTGCTTTATATCTTCTGAAATAGTTCAGGATATATGTCATATATATTCAGAGTTCATTATCTAGGCATAGCCCAAAGAACCAAGAGGAGATACATAAAAAGAAACATTACCATATTGTGGGTGTGAGGGAGGAAGGAAGGAAGGAAGGACACTAGAAAGCAAAAGAAGGTACAGATTTTACCTTGAAAATATGAGCTTTAAGAATATGATGCCCAAGTTCCATTGTCTGCTGACGGTTAAGTTTTCCTTCCTGCCGAGAGAACATGAATGCTAGGAGAGCATGCCCATTCCTAATGGTTGAAACAAAAAGACAGAATATAAAGGGGATCTTAAAAAGGCCTAAAATCACTTGTTTCCTAGTTCCTCACACCACTCATTTGTCTTATTTCAAAGGACAAATTTCATTTTCCCTCTGTACCCTGAAGTCTAAATATCAAGGTTTGTTTACACTTATGCAGACAGAAAATACTTGTGCTATTTCATTCTCAAACATCCGTGAAGCATTCAGCAGGAAAACACAGGCTGTTCATCTTACATTTAAATCAAATCAAGTCATGGGTGATCTAAACTAGTGTCTGCTGATGCCTTCTCTCTCTTAGGAGGCTCTGGTTTGGCTTGGTGTCGCACAGTACCCTTCATGTTTCTTTTCCTCTCACTGCTGAAAGCGATGTGAACACGACCAGGTTGACCACTCTGAATGCAAAGAAAGGAATCCATCTTCATGTACTATGTTTTCACCAATGTCTTTTTAAAAACACTATACCTAAATAATATTTTAAAGCACTTTTATACACCAAACAGCATTGCTGAAATTATAAAATCATGCAGTGGATCTGTCGGCTACAAACCCAATCCACCAGGCAAAATCCACAGGCGGTTTCTGTGCTGAACTTGTGTCTGGACCTGATAATGGACTGGATGAGGGTCAATAAACTGAAACTCAATCCAGACAAGATGGAACTGCTGTTAGTGGGTGCTTCGCCAGACAGGTTGGAGGGCCATTTCCCTGCCCTGAATGGGGTTACACTCCCCCTAAGGGACAGGGTCCGCAGCTTGGGGGTGCTTCTGGACCCCAGTCTAACACTGGAAGCCCAGGTGGACTCGGTGGCCAGGGGCGCCTTCCTCCAGCTGCGGAAACTATACCAGCTACGGCCCTACCTGGACGAGCGGAGTCTCGTGACAGTTACACATGCACTGGTAACATCCCGTATAGATTACTGCAATGCGCTTTACGTGGGGCTGCCTTTGAAGACGGTCCGGCGACTGCAACTGGTTCAGAATCGAGCGGCGCAGCTGGTGAGTGGTGTGGCCGCCAAGGAACATATCAAGCCGACTCTGTATAAGTTACATTGGCTACCAGTTGCTGCCCGGGCCCAATTCAAAGTGCTTATTTTGACATATAAAGCCCTAAATGGCTTGGGCCCTGGATACCTGAAGGACTGCCTCCTTCCATATGAACCTACCCGGCAGTTAAGATCTATCCAGGGGGCCCTTTTGAAAGAGCCATCCCTCAAGGAGGTAAGAGGGACGACTTGTAGACAAAGGGCCTTCTCGGCAGCTGCCCCCAGACTATGGAATGCCCTCCCGACTGAGATTCGTCTGGCGCCGACACTGATGACATTTCGGCGCCAGGTCAAAACCTTCCTGTTCCAGAAGGCTTTTAACTGAAATAATATTAACTGTGGGTCTGATGGCAATTTTATATATATTTTAATTGTATTTTAATTGTACATATCTTTATTGTATTTTAAATGCTGTAAGCCGCCCAGAGACCTTTGGGTAGTGTGGGCGGCATATAAATTAAATAAATAAATAAATAAATAAATAAAAATCAAATAAATAAATAAATAAATAAAATTAGTGAACAAACAATACAAAAGCAATCCTTCCTTGAGGTCAATCCAGTAAGCCATGATTTAAGCCATGATTAAGAGTGCTACTTAATTTCATAATCAGCAAAGCATTCATGAGTTTTTTTTTTAAAAAATATATCATTGCCCTCCCATCACCATGTCTCCAGTTGCTTTTGAACGTTTTCTGTTTTAAAGACCCTTTGAGATGTGTAGTCTTAAAATAAATCGAAAAGATCTGAAGGATGCCTCAAGTCTAGATAAACAGACCCACTGGGGGGGGGTACACCCAGAACTGGGGGCCATACTTCCCATACCCCAGTGCTCTGGGATGGAAAGCAGCTGAAGTAGAGAAGCAGCTCTAGCATGCAGATGGCACTTCTGTCTCCCAAAAATAATTGCAGCAGATGAAAGCTTGTCTTTCCTGAAGACTCACTTCCCTTCTTTAAATTTTGAACAGGTTCTAATTTTGGACTGTCATGCTGCCAAACAGCAATTTTTTTAATTATATGAATGTCATGGTAGACATCAGTAATCCCATCACAGAGACACTCCCAATTTTAGTTATAGAATTACAACTGATTAGAAGGACAAAATAAAAGATACAAGTAACTGGAAAAAAATTGGAATTCCAGACTATATTAAATCCTTTATAGATTCCTATCACTTTATCCTCTCTTTTAACAGTGCCTCCCAATCTCTGTAAGATTGAAAGGGCTTGTTGTCAAATAAGCAAGGCAAAGCATGCTGCTTATATACCACCCCATAGTGCTTCAAGCACTCTCTGGGCGGTTTACAATTATGCAGGCTACACATTGCCTCCCCAGCAAGCTGGGTACTCTTTTTACCGAAGGATAGAAGGCTGAGTCAACCTTGAGACGGTTACCTGGGATTGAACCCCAGGTCTTGAGCACAGTTTTGGCTGCAGTACAGTGGTTTAACCACTGCGCCACGAGGCGCAGGAAAGGACCACAAGCATTTTCAATGCTTGGTATTTGACATATAAGAGTGTGGCTGCAGAATTATGAAGAAAACTTCACAGCAGTAAGAAATATATCAGTCCCTCCATTGTGCAACGGTGCCACTGAATCTATGTTATATACAGCTCAATCATTTCTGAAAAATACTAAGTTCTGCTTAGGTATGCTTCCCATTTCTGATATTAATTTACAATTTATACTTCAGTTTCAACCCCAAACACCTTTAAAACGTGGCCTTAAAAGCATTTTTCTTTTAGAATATTCATGTCTCACAGTTTATTCTCCTTGTTAAAGGTTACAGAAACTACCAACTGCTGTTAGTAACTGCTATATACTATAGTGCTTCAGTTTACCTGGGTTCACATAAGAAATCAGTGTTTTCACCGTCTGCTCTCCAAACAAGCCATTCTCTGAAGGAAGGATGGCAGAACATCCGTGTTTTGTCACGCCGTTTTATCAGAAAGCCTGAAAGGGCTTCCATCCTCTGATGGAACTCTTCCCATTCCTGTTCGCCATATATCTGCCCGGCATTAATAGCTTGGAAAATCTGGTCATCTGTCATTGGGTGAAGTGATGCTAGAGCGACATTTAGGATTGGCAGGGCTCTCTCAAACGATGAGTTTGTCATGAACTTCATATTGCACTGAAGTAAATAAAGCTCGGAAAGGGAAACTGGAACTACCTTGTAGCTCGCACTTTTGATCACTAGGTGACCCTTCTGAAAAAGGTCTAGTGTAAGTTTTAAGTAGAGGTAGGATCCCATACTCCTCATGATCAGGTGGTTGCTCACTTTCCCAATAATAGCGGCATCAGCTTTTCCATTAAGAGATATATTGTTTATAATATCCTGGCTGGCATTAATCCTGTACTGAATATATGTGTTCAAGTCAGCCTGTATCTCCTTGTTGTCGGGAAAATCATCTAGGGAGATTGCGAAGAAAGGATGTGAGCTTATTATTTCCTGTATTAAAAACAAAAGAGAAGGAAGGAGTTAAGAACTTTCTAGAACTGTAGAAACTTCATAGGTATGTAAATAAAACCTGAGCTTCCTAAATGCAGAGAAATCCCATTATTTAAAAAACGGTTGATGAGGTGGATAACGTTTGGGTGAGTCAAAATGAAGGCCTGGGAGAGGTATGGATTACTGAATGAACATATAATTATATGGTCTAAAGAAAGCAGTGAAAGGGTTTCTGGAATGTTTTGTTTCAGACTGCCCAAGAAAAGAATAGACTAGCTGAATGCTTCTTAGTGTAGTGGGGAAGAGAAGGTCACTGCAAACACAAAATCAGCACAATAAGAAAAAGAGCAGCCTAGAACTTTTCTCCTTGGCAATTAGTTTTCCACCTGTAATATGTGACAACAAATTGTTTTTATATTGTTTTATTCATCCCTTGGTTCTAGACCTGCACTTTGAACTGGTAACTCTTCAATGACGGGAAATGTATTATGAGCATTAATAAGCATCTCCACATTGTCTGCCCTTCTGACTTTAAGATTTGTACTGGAAACCTACAAATCAAATGTCCCTATGAGTTCAGATCAAAAGAACAAGGCCGCCAAGAAACAGCAGCAGAATCCCTATGTTATTCACACCTGTGAAAAAACTCCAGGCTGTACCTTTTTTATAAGGGTCATCCCACCTGTGTTGGCCTATTGTTGCTAAAGACCTTCTTTGCTGCGCTGGTTGATCTCTCCGGGGTCGCCTCCTTTGGCCACAGTTTCCTTTGGTCAAATTGTTGTCTACTGTCTATCCTTCAGAACTAGGATACAGTGGTGCCCCGCATAGCGAGGTTAATCCGTTCCGGATTAACCCTCGCTATGCGGAATCATCGCTAAACGGGGTAAGAGTCATCCCACCTGTGTTGGACTATTGTTGCTAAAGACCTTCTTTGGTGCCCTGGTTGGTCTCTCTGGGGTCCCCTCCTTCGGCCACAGTTTCCTTTGGTCAAATTGCTGTCTACTATTTATCCTTCAGAACTAGGATACAGGGCATGCAATGTCTGTTCTAACAAGGCTACACTGGAAAGAAGCATGTCAAACACAAGAAGCCCTCCACTGTTCCAGGAGAGATGCTGAAGGCAAATAAATAAATAAGCAAGTGTGAGTTAAAACTGCCCACTTCTGGCAACCTGTGTTGTATGCCTTCTTGCAACTCTCAGAGGACAGCACTGGCCTGCTGCTGTTGTCATGGCTGCCCTTGCCATTGCATTTCACATTTTGGCTAACATGAATATGTGTTAAAGGCCAACCATGTCACAGACAATAAGGAGCAAAACCCAGTTTCAGGAAGACATATGTGGATATTAGACAAATCATTTTCATTGGATATGCCACAAATGCCAATATTACAGCCCCAATAGCCGGCACATGCTTTTGCCTTACTAGCATCCACAGTGGCTAAGAGTGGTGAGGAACGGCTACACTCAGGTACATGTGGTTCACAGAAGTCCTGCCTTAGCTGTAAGTTCAGCCTCCAGACTCTTTTTCTCTAATCAAAATCACAGCAGAATCAGACTTCTGTTGCCTTAAAAAAGTTCTTAACAACAACTAAAGCAACATGTTCTTAAAACATTACCTGAAAGTTTGTTCTTACTGTCACGATCAGTTTTAACCAAGAAGGAAATTTAGATATGATGTTTGCAATAAATGAAGAAATGGTGTCCCCATAATCAGGCTTGTGAAATTCAGCCTCATTTAAGCCATCTATCAAAATTATGTAGTCTTCTTCTTGAATTTTCCGTTCTGAAAAACAATATAGTGGATAAGCAATAAAGGTGGACACTGTCTCAATATGTTTTAGAGGTTTTCCCCTCTCTCAGAAAAAGTGAACATCGGGCAAATGATAGTAGGGTGCACACCTTTGTACGGTTTTCCCCCTCTCTCAGAAAAAGTGAACAAATGATAGTAGGGTGCACACCTTTGTACATATCTCTTGTACCTACTCACCCAAAATATGAAAAGTATGCCTCCATTTGCGCATGATGACATCTTCTGTATCAACAAGCTAAATGAAATTTTATTACCCATCCATATAATACATTCTGGCGTTCCAGACAGGTCTGCCTATCTAAATATTCATAATTAATACGTTGTTCAGAAATTGTTACAGATATTTCTGGTGTTTTCCTTTTTTCTTTATGGGTCACTGTGTGCTAGAATTAGTTACTGTAGAAGCTCCCTGTTGATGCACCTTCCTCTTTACTTCCAACTTCTGGAGATAGATCTACATTCCTGTCTCACAGTTGTTTTACATTCCGCTACAGTGCTAGTGTGCTAACTGCACCCACCATTCCATGATACTTATTGAACAAAGGATTTAATATGGTAACTATGTTTTAAGTTGATGTTTCTTCTGCATAAAGTTACAAAAATACTCACACAATTAAAAAGTAGTCAGTAGTTGTATAAACTCTGACAAAGCGTACATTTTAGAATCCACACATTTCATCAGTGTATTGGGAAAAACCCCACACAAACTGCCTAATTTCTTTCACTATCATTTTAAATATTCTAATTAAACACATTCGAATCATGTGACATCAGTAATTATAAGAGCTTTCCCTACAGAAAATCACATATAAGAAATGGAAATAGTACAGTCACTGTGCTCTCTTCAAAACTGAAACATTAATCTATAAACTTGGTTATAAGACAATTTATAATGCATCAAAAGATCTGGGAAAGATACTTCACACCCTGAGTAGCAGAAGATCTTTTAGCCTGGATTAAGAGGTCACAGTTCATGAATCTATACTATACTCCAAAGTGGATTACAGGAAGAACACAGAAAGCCAGCATCAATGTAGCATTGTTAGAAGAAGAAAAAACTAGAAGGCAATCAGAGGACCAGCAATAAGATGAAAATAGCTACTAAACAATCTTGTTCTTAGAACTTTGCTACACGTTGCAGCAGAGAAGTAGAGATTCATGTTCCCAAATGACCAAATGTCTAGTTTCTCCTTGTAGGAGAATATTCTCCTTATATCTACATATGTGCTACAATAACAAGCCCGTTATTTTCCCAGAATTATTTATATTGTTTCCCGATAAACAAAAGTTGCCAAACCAATTTTCCTTAAAGATTCCATTTCGCAAATGGATTTATAGCGCTTCATGAATAATTCATGTCTTATATGCACTACAGACTTGTAAGTGCATCAGTATAGATGCACAATTATAACCTAATAACTTCTTGATAAAAATGTGACCAATCATTATTTATTTAAGGCAAACGTATCAGCTTATTGGGCCTTCCCAAATGTGTTTCTCAAAATATTTGATCACTACTCTGAAATGTTTTACTTCTTGGCCAGGCTTTGCTACCTTGTTCAAAATAAACCAAATTCCGTTCCACCCATGAGCAGACTTGTCTCCTATCCACTGCTAGGAACATTTCACACACGTCTTGATGGTATAATTGGAATCACAAATGAAGGGGTGTGGAATCTATTTGGCCTACCTTTTCTAAGGTTTGCTAGAGGTTCCAGTACTCCTCTTCTGAACGCTGCCACGGGATCCTGAACACAGGACCTAAGGCTAAGCATGCTTTGTAGGTGTGGCTCCCTTATCAAAAGGTCTCTGTATGCTGCTAACTGATGGGACCGGCAGAGCAGAGCTGCAATACTATGCACGAATTCTGGGACAAGGCATGTGTAAGTATTGTCGGCTTGGCAGTAGTGATAGGCAACAACCTTTAAAAAAAAACAAAAACACTGTTCAGAATTTATGTTGGAAGCTTCCAGTAATGAACAATAAAAACAGTGGGAAGCCATGCTAAAAGCACTTTTATTATCTTCTGAATTATTCCAGAGGACAAAATTCCAAAGAACAACACACTCATTTCCCCTCTCTATGCTGATCTCATAGCCCCTTTGTCTTAGTATTTAAAATGCGAAGCAGCAACCAGGATTCCACCACCACCCCGCCCAGTATATGATCTTCAGTAGTGTAAAATCTAACACAATTTTCTATGCAACAGCAGAATTACAATGGTGTATTTTATCTGAAAAGCAGAAATTCAACTCTACATTTGTCTGTGTTCACTAGTCTAGAAAAGAAACATGTTTCTTTCCAAAATCAGGAGACATTCAACATAGAACTTATCACACTTACTATATTTTTCTGTTTATAACATGCTCCAATTTATAAGACTTCCCCTCCCCCCAATTTTCTAACCTGAAAATTAAGAAAACTTAGCTTTAAGGATTCAGCCTCTGGGCTCAGAACATCAGATATTTTGAGTCTCTTTTGAATCTGAACCTACAGACTCCACCTCCAAGGAGATGTGTTCCAACTGGTTTGTTCAGAGTCAGCTGACATCAATTTCATAAGTCTCCTGACTGTAGGAAGCTAAACCTCGTGACTGAAGCCCATTTACAGAGGCAAGGTATGTGCCGTTTTGTTCTCTCCTCAGCTATCTCAGCTTATTTCCGTGTAAAAGACACCCCTCAATTTTTACTGTAATGAATTTAGGAAAAAGTAGCATCTTACAGATGGAAAAATACTGTATTTCTAAGATAACTTCAGCAATTATGTTCTGCGCTAATATTTTTGAGGAAGCTCAGCATCATTTGCTTAGTCAACTCTACAACTATTGAGATGTTAAACAAGGACTCTTATTTCAGAGGAACGTTTTTCTTGGAATCACTGGAGCCTAAAGAACATGTACCAGTAGATCAAGATCAAGCCGTAAATGCTCTGTATAATAAGATGTTGTAATTTTGCTTCTGCTTTGAAAGCCAGAATTTCGGGACCTCTTCATCCTTGTAAAGAACATAATTAGGTCTCTAACTCTCACACAACCCAGCTCCCATAAGTGACTCGCTTGATCCAGAAAGGGAGAAAAAATAATTTAGCTTCTTTACAGAGGGGCACTTCTTTCTTTTTTTGGAAAAGGGCTTCAGTGGGAGGGAAAAGATGTAGCTGAAGTGCAAGCACTGCATAATATTACATTTAAATCATAAGGGCCCTAATTTGGATCAGGATTGCAACAGTGAGCAATCTTAAGGGTCCCCTACATGAACACAAAACAGATTGAAAACTGCATTAAGGGTGCACTCTGGCAATTTGTGAAACTAAAATGCCGCAGTGCATTCAAGGCAGAATTACATTGTATGTAGTTTGGGCCTTGGACCCCAACTGCTGGATAGCTCAGTGGATTAAGGCAGTGGTTCTTAACCTTTGTTACTCGGATGCTTTTGAACTGCAACTCCCAGAAACCCCAGCCAGCACAGTTGGTGGTGAAGGCTTCTGGGAGTTGCAGTCCAAAACTCCTGAGTAACCCAAGGTTAAGAACCAGTGGATTAAGGCACCTGGCTGCAGAGCCAGAGGTTGTGAGCAACATTCCCCACTGTGCTTCCTCGACAGGGGCTGGACTCAGTGATCCACAGGGTTCATTCCAGCTCTGCAGTTCAAATATGATGATGATGATGAAAATTCCAACTGATTCTACAGGTCCAGTGTGACACTGAACTGGCCTCGTCTGAAAAGCTCCCAGTGACACAGAGAAGCCCAGAAGCCCAAGTACATTTGTCAGTTATGAATGGCAACTACAACAATGCAGCCTAGTTTTCTAAAATTTATATTCCCCCCCCCTTTAAAACAAATGCAATCCAATCAATCTATGACCTAGAATGCTAGCAATCATAATTCTACTTTTCTTTTAATTTGTTATATAGGTGAACGAGATAGCCATCACATTTTTCCTCTTGTGAATTTAACTGCACTCTAAATTAGGACATTAAATTTAAGTTTGGCAAACCTATGGACCTTTTACACAGACACGTTCCCCCTCACCAAGTTCCACATAGCTTAATCCCAAGCACGGATGTATAAAACGGTACCTTAAATTGGTTGGAACTGACTCAATATATTCTGTCAAGCTCTAAATATAACACTGACAACATCAGGACAGTTCTTATGTAAAAGATTGGACAAAGTAATACTTCAATACCAAACCAAATCCTCTTCTGTTTACAACACTTTGCAAGGCTTTCCTCCTTTCACAATCCTTCTTGCAAAAATAAATGCATTAGAAAGTCTGTGGTGCAATTTGCTGATAATTCCAGTTTATATAACCGTTAGATATCTCAGTGACGAACGTACTGTAAGCTGCCTAGATCAAATGTTTTATCCTCCTCCTTCCCACCCTGGTACACGTGCTGCAGGAAGCTATAGCGAACACTCTTTAATGGATGGAAAAGGCAGCAGTTTCCTACGGAATTATGGATCAACATCTGCCAGATTTGAAGAACCCCAAAAATAATTCCCATAATTCAAACAAAGCCGTGGCTTTCCCTGACATAGTCAGAAAATAAAGGGGTGGGGGGACATGGGCAAAAAAATAAAATAAAATAAAAAATAAAAAAAAAATCAAGACCTAGTCATCAAGGTTATGTTCTGTCTTTTCACTAAAGTGAACTGTATGCTATATTTATACATTTATATTTTCAAAAAGAGTACAGAGACACATGAACCTGACTGATACACTATGCTTCCAAGTATCCCAGATTCTTCTAAGAGGAACACTATGACAGGTGGAATGCACACAATCCTAAATGTTTTAGGTAGAACTCAGCAGAGTCTGTTAAGGATTAGGGTATTACCTTTGAAGCAAGATGTCTAACTGAATCTCCCATTTGGTTCTGATCTTCCTGAGCAGGGGGGGCGTTCAAAGTTTTGATTGCACTGACACCAGCTGAGGTAACAACAGAAGGGGGTAACTGGCTGAGAGGAATCTCTTGACAGGGGTCACTGGCTGTGGGGAAACAGAGAGGCAGACACTGGCATTATAACTAGTAATGCACATTTTGTGGCATAAATTATATTTGGCAATGCTTAGTCTCCTACAGAAAGATTAAAATTGTTTGAACACTCCAGCCTGTCCTCATGTGTTGTGACTGATGACTTCATTTATATAGTACTTGCATACGTTCATCCCTCTGCTTTGAAGATCTGCTGCCCTTAATTTGGTGATCCCATAACAGAATATATTCAAATCAAAAACAGAAAGGGAAAAGAACCATTTTAATTTCTTGGTAATAATAGACACACTCTTCTTCCTCATTCTAAAACGACAATTTCAAATAACACTTGTTTCTGTATAACCCAAATTTCTCATACTAACATTTTAAATGTCACCGCATTTTGCCACACACCACCTTACTCTAAAAAGTCTACCATTTTGAAAACTAGACATACTCATCAGCTGTGGGATTCAATGGTCCTCAGTCTAACTGACAAAAACTCCAGGGCAAGAAGCAACAGATTCTACAAATGTGAGGAAAATATAGGCTTGATCCAGAATAGAACCCACAGCATTTCCTCTTAAACCCTTTCCCAAGATGTGAAACACCCTGATGAGCAGGACATGACACACAGGGCTGAGGGAGGAGGCTGAAAGTGTCCAAAATGCTTTCCATGAGGGGAGCCCTGTTTTCAAGGATCCTCCTACACACCCCACCACACCTAGCAGGGCTCCTCAGAAGCTTTCCAAAGGGTGAGGTGATGCCAGGGTGAGAAGGGTCCTAGAAGTCATCTGTCTCTCTATTTTGTGGACTTTTCTCTGGTTCCTAAATGAGACAATTCAAAAGTTATACTGGGCCACAGAAATAAAGCAAAAATAAATAAATAAATACAGTCTTGAATTTACAGGAAGGCAAAGGGCTATACAGTACAAGAAACAGTAGGAGAAGCTTTTCAGTGCTTGCTCTCCAGATTTAGTTTCTTATTGTTGAGATAGTAACTATTTTGCATGCTTTCTAACACTAGGTATCAGGGGGAGGGGGGCTTTAATGAGGTAAAAGGATTTTCATTTCCCACTAACCTATTGGTAAAGTTATTTTTACCACATCGGGCTTGCCCCTCCCCTCTTCCAATCTGTTTGCTTCATTTCCTTTGTTAATTAGCTTCTCTCTCCTCTCCTGATCTCCAACCATGCGGCCAGCACAGAGGATCTATCTCCTACATGGTTGAGACTCACCTTTCTTTTTTCTTTTTATCCTTCTGATTGTAACTAGGGATCACAACTGTAAATATACCTTTTCCTCCCCAACTTAAACGCTTCCAAGGTGATTTCTAACATAGAAAGTGCTAGTCACTGTGAATCGGGGTGAGCTACTGAGACTTAAGCTTTCATGCTTTCTCTGTGCAGTTTTTGTTTGTTCCACCTACTCTGATAACTATAAAAGGAATCAAACAAATTCTCCAATATTTGCTACATAGAGCTCCACTGAGCACATCTACAAATGCTGATCTATTAGCCACAAACTGCCAGCTACAGTTTTGGCTGAAATCCTGTATCTTTCTTTCATCTGCCAATTTCTCCAGTATTTTTTTTTTAAGCAATAAGGGAAATCTGCTGATCTGAGCCTTCAAATTTATCCTGAACAACTTAGACACCACCTGTATCTGATTAATGCAGGCAGGAGGAGAATGGGAATGGATATACCAATGGATTCTCTCTTCTTCATTGCCAGCTAATACGTAAGTTGGTTTACTAAAGGGTGGGTTCTGATAGAACACAATCCAAGAGAACATCAGGCCACACAGTGAACATAACAGTTCTTGTATTTATTCATGGGGGCCCCAATGATGTTTTCCAGGGGTCCAAAGAGCCCCTACTGCCTTCTTCAACATTCTTATTAACAAGTTGGAAAGTCACACCACTAAAAGCCACAAGGCAGTGTAACCCTCCTCTTCAAAAATCTTCTCAACACATCAGGACAGGCTATCACAGAAGACTGACTAAAGAAATACAGACAAATGTGCAAATCAAGGGCGGGCAGGTGGCATTTTAAAATTCAATATAGAAGTGTATTAAAATCTCTAAAAGAATCAAACTCACTGCAGTACACCAGGAAGACTAGCAAAGTACATACCACCATGATGGTGAGCTACACATTTATTTTAAATTACATATACTGCACCTTGCGATCCACGCAGATAACAGCACAAAAAACGTTAACATTCCAAACAACAGATTTTAAAAATGTAAACCCAAAGATGTAAAGTTACTTATTGGTCTGTTGAAATAGGAAGGTATTTAAAAGATGTCTAAACTTCAAAATGATGGAGCCTGGGGAACCTCCAAAAGGGATCTAACTCCACAATTACTTCACGTATTTCCCCTACAAAGACCCTAATTCTTACACCCATCCACCCAAATGTGTCACATGATCCCTCTCATGGACACGTTCTGCCAGGCAGGACCTGAGAAATCAGGTTCAGGTCTGGAAGAGGACAATAAGTTGTGTGAAGAAACAAGGTTTGTTTCCACAAATAAAAAAGGCACCCAGAGGAGGAGGAGGGAAATGCTATTTATGTTCTGAGCAACTAATGGAAATTTTTCGTTCCATAAAGATTTTCAGAAAACGTAAATAACAGTCATGTTTTCACTGTTATGATTCAGTGGAAATAAACCTTTTTAAAACATACATACATACATACATACCTTTTGGAGAAGAATTAGAACTGGTGGAAGCAATTTGCCTCATGCGACTTCCATGGCAGCTAAGTGCCACCAGCTTGGAAATAATAGCCGTCTTCCCAAATCCCACATTCCCAATAATAACAGCTCCCCTGGTTTCTGCCTGCTCTGTATTCTTCAACTTTTCCTCTATGGTTTGAAACAGCCAGTCTCTTCCGACAAACACTGAGTCTGTTGTTATACTTGGCACTTCAAACAATAGTGGCTTCAGCAAAATGTCTTGAGGCTTATAAGGGACAAAACGTGCTGAGAGAAGGGAAAGAAAGTATTAAAAGACAAAATTTTAAGCAATGAAAAAAATATTTTAAATCAGAAACTAATTTGTTCATAGCATTCTTTGTCAAAACGGCCCTGAAACAAAACTATGTCAAAGCAGAAAATGCATACTGAAATTCAAGTCTGCCTTTAAATTTTGAATAGATTCTTCTCATGTTTTATACAAACCCAAGTTTTAGAGTTTGTTTCCTTTTCAAGTCTGTCTAGAAAGATAGAGTTAAATCGAATTTTCAGTCTCAAGTACCAATATAATTGAAGCAATATGATTTTTGTAAATCAACACTTCTGTAAATGACATTGTTTTAATGGGTCTATTGCAGTTGAGAGTAACAACTGAATCTAGTCTATGCAACATATTGTCTGAAATCTTGCTGGCATAAATTTATGCCATGTAAGCCAGATGATGTCATCACCCAGCAATGGAAATTTTTAATTTAAACATTTCCTACCCTCCCTTTTTTTTCAATTTCTAGAGCTCCCTGAGAAGCCTCTGGGAGCCTCAGGTGGAAGCCTTTAATATCCCAAAGGCTTCCTTAGGGAAGGGGATCCCTAGGGAGCATTGGAACCTGAAGGGAGGGGGAATAAAACATTTTTAATTAAATTAAAGATTTTTGTAGCAGGTGATGATGTCATCTGGTTCTCCTAGTGTAAGTTTGCACGAACAGGATTTCAGATGTTACGTTTTAGCATCACACACCTGGGCATCTGATCTCATAAGGTCAAGTTCTGTATACAGGTAAACTATTCAGTATGATTCTGAGGTCAAAGGAGGTCTTGGGAAGAAGCTGGTTCTAGAAAACTGAAGAACAGCCAACCAATTAAGATGGGCAATCAAAGTGCACTCTGCCTTAAACTATATCCCCTGAGTAGAATATTAAAGTGCAATATAACCATGCTAAATACAGTGTCAAGACCATTTCTCTTCTCATTGTCCAAAAATATAGACACACTTGTTACTCAATATAATATAGGTGAAGCAAAGTGAGGAGTGTGCTAAGTCACTGCTTCCCACTCCCTGTGTAATGCTCCAGTGTTGCTACTGTCACTGAATTGAGCATAAATGTACCACAGATAAATTCAGATCTAGGCCAATCACACCCAAGAATCCCATATACCCCCTCTGGGCTGATTTCTATATTCCAGGAGTGACACGGTGGCAACATGCCCACAGATTCCTCTGACTAATTAACTGGCTCCTCTTATATAACATCTTGGGTTCGGCTTCAAACACAGAAAATGACAACTGCAGAATGATAGAAACATAAAAAATGAAGAAGCTCTGCAGCTCTGTGGCAGACTACTTGCTTTTCATGCAGAAACAGTCACCTATTGCAGCGTATATTGAGTAAGATGGACCAATAGTTTGGCTCATTATAAGACACCTTCCTGTCCTACTGGTATTCAGCATGTGTTCATACCTACAGTTAGTACAAATCACAAGTATTGTACACAACAAATTAATGTGTATCCCAATTTGTTTCTTATTTGCTGCTATTGGAATATGACACGACTAGATTTATATGACTGCACCTCAATATACAGTATTCATGGGCGGCATACAAAGCAAGCATTCTCTCTGTCTCTTATATCCAAAATAGAAAACCAAGACATGAAGAAACACAATGGGAAGAACGAATAAAACAAGTTAACTGTCCCAATTTAAACACGATGATTCCAATGATTCTCACAATAATTCCTACTTGGAGTTTAGGGGATCCTTTAACCTTCTTAAACATGTTTAAGAGAAACTGCCACAATCATGCATATTGCATTGAGCAGTTGACCTGCTAATTTAATGGCCATCCAAAAACATTTTTTAAAATTTAGGTTAACTAGCTCCTGAATTTGATCTAATATTCCTATTGGCATATATTAATTTAGCCTCTGTCCTTTGCTATATACATCTTTGAGTCAATCATCACATCATTCCTGTGAAACACAATCACACAAACTAGGTGTGAAGAATTCTACCCTTCCTTACTATGGATGGATTTACGCAGAAGAACTAGAGAGGATGAGGCCCATCTTTGATCAGATGAGTAAAGTAGATACCAAGCAGAACAAATTACAGGGGGGATTACCTCTCTAATAGACATGAAGGCTGGCTTAATATTGATGACTTGTTGTTACAGGTCACCAAGTGATTTCCAACTTTTGGCTGCCCTGACAGGGTTCAAGGAATGATTTACCATTGCTTCTCTTACTCCCCAGTGAGATTCCTTGGCTGAGTGGGAATTTGAATCAATGTATTCCTAATCTGACAGTCTTTCCACTACAGTACAGTGGGGGTGGGGTGTCTTTAATTAAAAAAAAAAATCACCTCTGGTAGGATGATTTTACTGCCAGCAACATCTTTCAGAAATTAAAGACTCCCTCTGTTTCGCCCAATGTTTCTTCACAATGAAAGGGGTCTCAAGGGAACCTTTTGGGTGTGGGAGAATCAGAACATTTTAATTTCCAAGAAACTGCTGTGTCTGATTTGTCATCAGCTTTATGCCGTGTAACTTCTGGCAACAAAACGTCAAACAGTATATTGCATGCTTTTGAATTATACTATAGAGACAGAGACCTCTGTCACAGTTCCCTTTTCTCTTAAAGTCATTTTTTAATCTGCACATTGGAGACAACTGTAAATTTTTATTAATTCTAAAACTAGAATGGAAGCAAAATTCTCATCCACCCCAAGCCACAAATGGAATCTTTCAGCATTTCTTGCAACTGGGAAGAAATTCTGAGGCCGAGGCAGAAGCATTCACTCTTACACCTAGAACCTCCCCCCATAAAACTCAATAACCAGAACCATTTCTTTTGTCATCTATGGACCTGTTCACCCCTCTTGTAGTAATCTGTCCAAATGGCAGGTAAGACTGAAACGGGACAGAAGAGTTCTAAGATTACAGCAAAATAGAAGGAAAAAGACTTTAGAGCTTTTGTCTAAGCTAACACTGCTGCCCCATATTTGCATCTTCTATCAGATAGTAATGGCATCCTAAAATAAAAAGGTCTGTAGTTTATACATTACCTTTTATTTCTTGTTGAACTCTTCCTCCAGCAGTATTGTGCCAAGGTAAGCGAATTGAGGTCCGCAATGGAGTATTTCTCTGCCCATCCAAATAGCTCAGGTCTTCTAGCTTGGTGGAACTTGTTGCTGTAATGAGAATATTAGCTGGTCAGATTAACCGGCTATAGAATTCAGAAATAACGTCTCATAAATAGTGGCCAGGCATAGCTCTATATACATGGAATGGGGCAGAGTTTATTAACTCCTGGTTTAGGGCATACCAGTAAAAGTGTGCCTCAGCACATGTACACCAGCATATAACCCCTTAGATCTTGCCCTGAAAAGTCCAAATTGAAATATAAATGTGAGATTTTACAGAATTCAGGAAGTCACATTATTGAACAAAAGGGCTAAAAAAATGGAAAAGGAGCATATGTATGTCTTAATATTACAAAAAAAAAAGAAAGAAAGAAAGAAAGAAAGAAAGAAAGAAAGAAAGAAAGAAGAAAGAAAGAAAGAAAGAAAGAAAGAAAGAAAGAAAGAAAGAAAAGCCCAAACAACTTATGGGTATTCAGTCCCTTACCTGCTATCCCCGATTATAATCAATGAGGGCAAAAACTAAAACACAATGTGGTATAACTCAACAAAATAGCACCACTACTAGACAGAAAGCTTATCAAGTGATTTTGTACAGTGTCTTGAAAAAGCCTGACCGGTACAACACATTTTAAAACAGAAAAAGAATCCCCACACTTTTAAGAAGAAAGAATGTAAAGAGCAGAAGGGAAGAAACATGATCTGGCCCTGTCCATCACCTGTTTTTATCTCTAAGTGAAGTACCAACAGGAATCCAGGTGTAGAGAGAAGGTTGAGGGTTTCAAAAAGACATAGCAATATCCATAAGCATAAGAATCGTATCCATAAGCTAGATCACCATCTAGCTTCCCATGATTTACCACTCAGTTTACTACCTGAGCTGAGACAAAGAAAACTTTATAAAACTGATGTCAAGTTAAAAGGCTTTGCTGAGTTCCTTGGAGGAAGAATGTGCTATAAACATAATGGACTGAAGGGAGAGGGCTTTAAAAGTCAAAAGTTAATGGCCGCATTGACACCAAGAAGTCCTTATCCTGCCAGGGGCATTCCAGGAGCGACTTTTGACTTTTAAAGCACCCCACAACCCAATGGCAAGGCTCCCAAAGGTCTCCCTAGGGGAATATGGAAGCCCTAGGGAGTCTCAGGACATAAAATGGGGGGGGGGGGACAGAAAACTTTTAATTAGATTATATTAAATGTTACCATCATCAGTTGATGATGCTGTCAGCTCCCTCTGCATAACTTTGCACAAACAGGAATTTTGGCCAATACATGGTAATGATAATAATAATAATAATAAAAAAAACTAAACCCAATCCTAAAACCACTAGCCTTGAAATTCTTCCTCATTTGGCAGCCCAATAACTTTTAAAAAACATGGCCTTGAGCTTTCCAAAGTATAAAATTTAACAGCTAAATTATTGTTTTCTCTTAAACTGTCAATCATCACATGCCATGGACCTAAAATTCCAATGACTTACTATATTTTATATATATATATGGATATATTTCCCCATTGTTAAATGTTTAAACTATCTAGAAATCATCACATCAGCAAAAACAAAAAATCTACACAGGGAAATAGTTCTGTGAATAGAAACAACCCTAAAGCATAGAGGACTTTCTGCTTCTGAAAAACTGAGAGACAGTTTGCAAAATAAGCTATCTTTGCCATAAGCTGTCTGGCTCAAAGTTCTAATTTTTTCAGTTCAATCTGCTTCTTTGTGGTTTATATTTTTAGCATAAAATAACCATCATGAAGGACTTAAAACTACTGATTCACTGTCTGGTAGTAAATCAAAGACAAAGCATGAACTGCATTTTTAATAGCCACTTTGGCAGTCTATTTGTTCAGAATGTCCATGCCAAAACACAGCAAGGTAGGTAGCTAACACAAATCTCCTGCCCCAATGATTTCTTTCAGTTATTGGCAGACCAACCCTGACAAGGAGACAGTTCAAAATCTTGCAAAGGGACAGACAGGCACCTTGTGCAATATTTCACAGAATCTAGCACATCAACAATCATCCATTGATATCCAGCTTTTCATTCTTGCAAAAAAAAAAAGAGAGATACATGTCTAACCATAAAAGCCCTAAAGGGGGTTGTGAAATGTACTGGAAAATAAACTGGTCATAAAAAGCAGACTCTCAGTGGTCAGGAACTGAAACTAATGTGTAGGGGAGGCCGTACAACTGCCAAAGGTTTTGCTTACCTTTTGAAAACTACACACTGCTTTCTAAACTGAAAGAGTAGTTTACCTTGTCAGTATCTATGAGCAGAGGCAATAGAAACATGAAAGAAATCCATGACTCAGGAAATTCTCCTAAACACGTTCTATTGAACTGAATGGAATAGACTGCAGTCGACACTGCAATGTCTGAAATTCTACAGATTTACAAAGAAATAAATGTCTTACAATATGCACACTGCACAGTTGGGAACTCCATGACTGACTGCACAATCAAACTGTGCAGTGTGTTTTGCCTGGGTGTAAAGCCCAGCAAAGTCACATCAGCGTAACTTTTTGGTGTGCTATGAATTCCAGGATTCCAGCCACTACTGATAGTTTAATTTAGAAAAGGTTTGGGATCAAATGCACTGAACTGGAGGGCCACCTCTTTTCCAGCCAGGCATTCACCATTCAGCAGGGATCCACTTGTCTTCCACCCTAGAGTGCCCTGGAAGGATTTCAATGAAGCTGACACCAATATATATTGCTTATTTTGTATCAAAAGGATATTGCTCTTCTGACTTTTTTTTAAAAAAATATCCGCTTTTCAGAAGTAGATATCAAATCTGTGCATCTATTTGTATCCTTCTGATATATATATAAAAAAAACAGGTAACAGTTCGCGAATTTAAAAGTCATTCCAGAATTGGATGAATACTGATACTGACTCCCTAGGCTCTAGGCTCACCACTGCACAAAATCTAGTTCGTTATGGGAAGATGTAACTCCAGTATTAAGCTATTAGCAAAGATTTATATCAACTAAGTGCTCTTTTAAATCCAGAAAAGACTTTTCTATATTATTGTTTTTATTACAGCTTTCGACCTTTAAGAAAAATCAGGAATTTTTATCACCAGCCTGAAGACATATGCAATGTTATAAACAGTTTTTATACTTACTAAATATTAGTAAAACACAGATAAAAATAATAATAATGTAAAAATGAGTAATAGAAACTAGGAAACAAAGTGTCTGTAGATAAAGAAGCCAGAAAGGAAAATGAAGCAGAGTTTTAAGTCATACCAACGATAGAACAAAGTGGCAAATATGATACTCCAGAACAAAGGCTATGAAACAGACACATCTTAGATCGTACTAAGGGTTACCTCGTCATTTCTAACTGTAGGTTTGTGCTCAGGGGCGAAGGCTGTGAACATTCAGAACAGTAACCAATCTCATTAAAGATTTCTGGACTAGTTCCCACTTGTCCCCATTTGTATGCAGGAAGTAGTGCATGAACCTAAAGTACTAACACAGCTAGTTGCAATTCCTTCCAGTACAGAAGCTCAAGGGAATCGTGCCACTGAAGCAGGAAAGTATTTTATCTCTGAGTTCTCATCAACAGTGGGAAAAGGTTTTGAGCAAGTATCTAAAATTAATCTGCTTGCTACTGTTTGTTAGCTGGCACAGTTTGCCAATACACCTCCCTTAGCTATTAGTCTGACCAGTTCTGAACTGGAAGTGCTATTCGAAGCATTTGTCTACTAAGAACTCTAGTTCCATTTCTCTATATATCCATTAAGAATAATATTCAAATTGTATTCCTTTGGGCCACGTTGCTAGTAAAAGGCATCAACATATTCAAGTAACTATATTTTATTGTCCCAGCAGTTGAAAAAAAAATTGTCTACAAACGTTGTGACCCATCAACCATCTTCTCAGTTCTGTTAGGAGAGGCTCAGAGGGTTGACGTCAGCAATTATGTGTTAGGGAAACAACAAAAAGCATTAAAAACACCGAAGTCTCCTCAATGAAATTTAGACTTGTCCAGAAAAGTGAAAAGGAGGCACTATCTTAGTGCTGCAACTTGCAGCTGATCACAGCTGCCACGACCCAAACTGAAGGGAAAGGATTCACAACAACACCTCAGCCACTTATCCAAAGTTCAGCGCAAAGGCACTTCCAGCATGAAGACACTCCTCCATAGGGACAGAAAGCAGCAGCTATGCCAAGGCGTGTACTTGAACCCAAGCAGCTTCTTCCAGGCTGAGAATACTCATTTGCAAGGCCTGAGCATGATCAGGAATCATTTCACTATGCCAGGACTGTTCAGCAATATTCAGAAGTGCTTGCGACAAAGCAGAATGAAACAGCTGCCTCAAGCTGCAGATCCTGGATGTCATGTAAGTGCAGCAAATTGCTGGCTATTTAGCTCATTGTTTTATTACTATTAATACCTGGACAAGGAGCAGTGCTTGTGGGTTTTTCTCCTTTTAGGTGTCAAAACGACTTAGTCGGCCTTAGATATTATGCATTTTAAGTTGAATGGGGAAGGGGAGCTATTTGCAGCCTTCCCTTAAGCAGCTAAATGTCCTTGAACAGCCCTGACAGCTCTTAAAGAAGGCAAGGCATGCTCCTCTTCCAGTGTGATACTGAAATTTTTCACTCCTCTATGGGGATGAGAACTGCTAGTCCAGGCATCCACGGGGTTGCTGCACAGGCCAGGAAAGGACTGAAACCAGAGGTTCCATGGAAATCAGCTAAGAATTAACTGATGAGAAGGCATGTATCTGATCCATACCACTATAGTGGACTTTGACAAGTCCAGGACATCATGTTGGACAGGATCATTAATGAAAAGCAAAAACATGCAGGATAAAACTGTTAAGACACTGGTGAGCTTTGACTTAAAAATGAATAAAATGAAAGGAAATTCCAGTATTTTAAGTGCTTTGAAATGATACATACATTGGCAGAAATCCTGCAGGTTAGCATTGTAAGTCACAACTAGAGCACACCCATTTGAATCAATGGAACATATGGAAGAGTTGATTCACCAATATCCACTGATTCAATTGACATACTCTAGCTGCAGCTTACTACAGCAACAGTGTTTAAGCCAATAACACTTTAAGATGCTTCTCCCTGTTTCAGTTAATTAAACTTCAGTATTGTTAATGCCCTATGCTGATGACTAGAACATATGTTTTTATATAGATCTCAGGTGTAGGCATCCTTCAGTCTCGAAGGACTATGGTAATGTGCTCTGTATAGAAAAGTCTTGGAACAGCGTCTAGTGTGGCTGAGAAGGCCAATTTGAGAGTGACAATCTCTTCCACACTGAAGTCAATCTGTCCCCTGTCCGGCTCCCTGGTTTTGCTGGTTTCGGGACTGCCTCTTTGCCTCGGCCTGCTGGACAAGTGTCTCTTCAAAATGGGAGATGCCATGATGCACCGCCTGCCTCCAGGCTGAACGCTCAGATGTCAAGGTTTCCCATCTGTTGAGGTCCATTCCTAAGGCCCTCAGATCCCGCTTGCAGATATCCTTGTATCGTAGCTGTCTCCCTCTGGGGCGCTTTCCCTGCACTAATTCTCCATAAAGGAAATCTTTTGGAATCCAACCATCAGCCATTCTCACGACATGCCCAAGCCAACACAGATGTCACTGTTTCAGTAATGTATACATGCTAAAAATTCCAGCTCATTCTAGGACTACTTTATTTGGAACTTTGTCCTGCCAGGTGATACAAAAAATGCATCAGAGACAACACATATGGAACGGGTTCAGCTTCCTCTCCTGCCGTGCACAAAGGGTTCAGGACTCACTGCAGTACAGGAGTGTACTCAGGACGCAAGCTCTATAGACCTTGATCTTGGTATATGCCGTCAGCTTCTTATTAAGCAATACTCTCTTTGTGAGTCTAGAGAACATGGTAGCTGCTTTCCCAATGCGTTTATCCAGCTCGACATCTAGGGAGAGAGTGTCAGAGATCGTTGAGCCAAGGTACATGAAATCATAAACAACCTCCAATTCTTGTTTGGAGATGATAATAGAGGGAGGTGAGTCCATGCCCCGGCCTATGACTTGTTTTGTCTTCAGGCTGATTGTTAGTCCAAAATCTTGGCAGGCCTTACTGAAACGATTCATCAGTTGTTGGAGCTCTTCAGCAGAATGGCCAACAACAGCTGCATCATCGGCAAAGAGGAACTCCTGCATGGATTTCAGCTGGACTTTGGTCTTTGCTCTCAATCTAGAGAGATTAAAAATATTTCCACCTGCTCTAGTCCAGAGATAGACACCTTCTGTTGAAGCTCCAAAAGCGTGCTTCAGCGTGACAGCAAAAAAGATCTCAAACAGTGTCACCACAAGGACACAGCCCTGTTTTACTCCAGATGTCAAAGGGATCTGATGTTAAGCCATCAAAAACTACGGTGCCCTTCATTTCCTCATGAAAGGACCTGATGATGTTAAGGAGTCGAGGTGGACATCCAATTTTGGGAAGGATTTTAAAAAGACCATCCCTGCTAACCAAATCAAAGCCTTTGTGAGATCTATGAAGGCCACAAAGAGTGGCTGTCATTGTTCCCTACATTTCTCCTGCAACTGTCTGAGAGAAAATACCATGTTAATGGTGCATCCATTAGCTCGAAATCCACACTGTGATTCTGGACAGCCTCTGTCTGCAAGCACATGGAGCCTCTTCAGCATGACACAGGCAAGCAGCTTCCCTACAAGGCTGAGAAGAGAGATGCCATAGTAGCTTACTGCAGTCATCCCTGTCACCTTTGTACTTGTACAATGTGACGATGTGTGCATCCTTCATGTCCTGTGATACTCCATCTTCCAGCAAAGACAAAAGATTTCAAATAGCTCGGTGGTGATGGTCTCTTTACAGCATTTCAGTAGGGCTATTATCCTTCCCAGGTGCCTTACCAGAGGCGAGGGAATCCAAGGCCGCTTTTATTTCTACTAAAGTTGGTTCGCTGTCCAACTCTTCCAAGACAGGCAGGCACTCAATGTTATTTAATGCCTCTTTGGTTACTATGTTCCCTCTAGAATATAGCTCAAAGTAGTGCTGCACCCAGCGTTCCATCTGCTGTACTCGGTCCTGGATGATCACGTCCGTAGCCATCTTCAAAGGAACAGATTTCTTCTGTATTAGACCTTTAAAGCCTGCTTGATACTGTCATACATTCTCTTAATGTTACCTGTGTCTGCTGCTATCTGTATCTGAGAGCACGGCTGAAGCCAATAATCGTTAGATCTCAGATAATTTTTTTTAAATGAACAATAAAGTATGCTAACTATGTATTTCCAAAAGAACCAAAGTCATACATACATACACACAGGAGGTTTCTCTTCTAAGTCTAATATTACTTTGTTGTTGTGAAGGGAAAATACAACTGGAGAGGCTTAAAACAACTGGAAGGGGGTCAGCATACTGGGCCTCTATTAATGGATCTGCAAAATCTCCCAGAAGAAGAAAATTGAGCAGAAAGGCCCTGTTTCATATTCCATATAAAATGTGTTGAGTATTCTGATACAACAGATATTGTCAGCATTCATTATGATCTTAAGAAAAAGGTACTTTGACAGATGTCTTTTCTTAGGATAGCATTCTGTTGCAGGGATACCAGACCTGTCCCAGTACACAACCTGCAATGTGTTGTGGTGATGCAACCGTCCCAAACAGGTCTGAAAGGCTGCCACACAAAAGATGAAGGACACCTGTTTTCTGTTGCCCCAGAAGGTTAAGACCTGTTGGATTCAAATTTCAAGGAAGGGGATTCCAGTAAACATTATGGAGAACAGCTGTTTGACAGTGGAAGGGACTATCTAAGGAGGTGGTGGACCGTCTTTCATTGGAGATTGTTGAAAAGTTTGGATGGCTATCCACCAGGGATGCTTTAGCTGTAGATTTCCTGCTTTGCCAGGGAGTGGGCCTAAAGGACATTTAGGAGCCTTTCAAACTCCAAATGCATGAGTCTATGTCTGCACTTTTAAGAAGTACCTTTAAGAAGTGAGTTTGTTCTATGGCTTGTTTTCTAACTCAATTTAGAGAGAGAATGATTCCAACTCTACACTCAGACTGGGGAAGTTAATTTTTGGGGAATACAAATACAGCGGTGCCGTGCTTAGCAATCGCTCTGTTGAGCGACGAAATTGCTTAGCGATGGACTTTTTGCCATTGCAAAAGCGATCGCTTAGCGATGGTCCCTATGGGGAAAATTCGCTTTGCAATGATCGCGGGGAAGAGATCATCGCAAAGCCCCCATTTTCGGTCAGCTAATCGGTGGTTTCAAAATGGCCACCGGAAAAACAAAATGGCCTCCCACTGTTTTGCCTTGCTTAAGAGGCAGCGAAAATGGCGGCGCTATGGAGGATTTTTGCTGAAAGTTAAGTTTTTAAGCCCATAGGAATGCATTAAACTTGTTTTAATGCGTTTCTATGGGCTTTTTAAAATCGCTTAGTGATGAAATCGCTTAGCGATGTTTTTCCGGAACGGATTAATGTCGCTAAGCGAGACACCACTGTACCCCAAATGCCCGAACTAGCTTGGCCAATGGCCATGCTAGGTGGGAGATTTTTGAAGCTCCCACTCATCAGTGCTTGCTCTCCCAGACAAGATGCCATTATAACAGAGCTCAGATATAATCTGATTGAAAACCATTCCATACTATTAGACATCCAGCACTAAAGGAGAAGGATACTGTTTTGTTTTAATAAAAGAGGTAAATCACACTCTATCCTAGCTTACTTCAGCTATTCCTTACCTGCCACAGAATTGGGTCGGGGCATTACTAAAGAGCCAGAGTTTTGAGTGTAAGTAACTGGACCATCTCCAGAAGACACTTCCACCTTTGGCAAATTCTCGGAAGACTCTTCTTCTGCAACTGGTGAACAATTATCTGTCCTCCGTTCTAGAATAATTCCTTGGTGGGCAACAGTTCTGATACTCCCATCTTTGCTCCATTCCAGGCTGGATCCACTGCGGTCATCGTTTTCAGATGAACTTGTTACAGTTGCTAAAAAAAAAAAGAAAAGCAAAATGAAAAGGGGAAACAACTGAATTCTAAATTAAAATTTCTAGTATATTTAAAGTGTTCTAGTGCTAACAAGTTGGATTCCACAACTGAGATCTTGTAACAGAATGCTGCACTGCAGAATCCTCCTTTTTAGGGATCTAGAAGTTCCATTGCTCCTTTTGATTTTTTTCCTTTGTTGGATGGAGCAAAAACACTTGTACCAAACTCCTAAACACATTAAAATCTTTGATTTTTCTATCAGCGGATTGGAGGTTTCAATTCAATCTCTGTGGACATTTTAAAATAGCTTCTTCTGAGACTGATCCAAGGAATCTACACATTACCCACATCCATGGGTCCCTCCCTCCATGTTGTCCAGCTTTCCCACTGCATTCAACTCTTCTACAATTTTTCTTCCTCCAAGCCATCCCTCACTCCATTATTCCTTCCACGCAGTTTGTCTGCATTTTCATCTCTCAACATTCCATTGTTCTGAGTTACTGTGCAGGCTGGGGAAGGGAGAGGTCGAAGTTTTAGCACTGTGTTCCTTCAGATTTTTGATCCTCCTGCAAACCTTGGGGTTAACGCAAGTCTTCTGGTACCTACCCCTCTCTTGTGTCTGGGTGGTGACGTCTTGACTACATTAGCATCGGGAAGAGAAAACCTGAACTGGTATTAAGAGCAGTGATACAATGCAACCAATTTTGTAGGTTGATACATTCCTTCAAGACACACTAGATTACCATCTTTGTGCTGATTTCAGAGGGGGGACGACAGATTCTATGCATTCTTTTGGTTGCAACTACAAATGCCTCAAGATTCTTTCAAAAGTACTAACAACTCAAATACTGTTTTTAAAAAAGTTGTAAGGATTTGATGAAAGCCTTACAGGGTGCCTCTGTATGACAGAATTATTAAAGTTCCTGACTCAAGATGAGACTTAGTCTTTTTAATATATTATGAATTAAACATCTTTTCTGATTTACTAATTGAGAGAAAGAGGTGGGTCAGGGGAAAATTTCCACTCAAGTTTCTGAAAAGGAGGCATATGGCCAGATTTCCCCTCTTATTTTGGCTACTAGCCCAGACTTTTCTCTTACTTAGTTTATTACAAAAGATGAAAATCTGCCCTCACCTCTATTATGTCAGTGGAAGCAGAGAAAATTTCAAGTAAAGCAATAAAACTTTTAAAAAAATAGAAGGAAAGAAGCCTTAGCCAGCAGAAAGTGTGGGAGAGAGAGGAGAAGGGCAGTTCTCTGTTCAAAAGGCCTACTGGCCCAGAATAACAGAGCAGTAAATGGAAATACAATGGATGCCTACTTAAGTAGCATGGAAGAACAAGCTATTTTCATGGCTGGGTAAAGCTTGCCAAAAAACTGTTACAAAAGATATACTTGCTAAATTCTGTACTCATTGAGCTTTTACTACGACTAATAAATGTGCATGAACTGAATGCTACATAGGTAGCATTCACAGAGGAAAAAAGTACAGGTTGCACTGGAAAATAGTGTGCACCTTCCTCCTCACCTCTACCTCCTCTCCACTGAAAACAAAATGATTAGGTTTATAAGGAACCCTTGTGTACGAGTAGAGTTTGTGCTGTGCAAATTCATTCTCATTGCATTTCCATTTCATCTTCTCTCTTCTCATGTAACAAGCACTGACAACAATGCCATGTTATGCCAGTGAGATTTCTGAAACCATAACTGTCCTTCAGGATTCACAGAGGAGTGAGAGAGATTATTTACTTTAATCAACCACGGTACATACAGTGGTGTCTTGACTTGACAACTTAATCCGTATTGGAAGGCGGTTCTCAAGTCAAAAAGTCTGTAAGTCAAGGCTCCATTGACCTACAGTGCATTGAAAACCCATTAATCCCATAACAGGTCGTTTTTGTTCCATTTTGGGTTTTTTCTGGTCTGTAAGTCAAATCTCAGGCTGCAAGTCAAACCTAAATTTTGCGGCCAGAGAAGTCTGTAACTCAAAAAGTCTGTAAGTCAAGCCGTCTGTAAGTCAAGGGTCCACTGTATCAGAATATCCTATATACCTCTGTATTGATCGCAGAAAGTATGCATGTACAGACATATGCACTTACGTCAAAGATCCACATTGCCATATCTAAGATACATGGTTACAGTCTTTTCAGTCCAAATAACCTCATCAGGTATCAGCTGAGGACTCTCACAAACACATGTATGCACATACGTATGTGTACCCAAACACACTTGAATTTAGTGCAAACTAACTCACTGGTTATATTAATTAGTGATATTAATTTAAAATTTAAGATTGCTGTCGCTTGAAAACCGCCCTTCCATTGTTCCAGTTTAAACCCATTTAATGAAAAATATGAATGTGCTTCTATTAATTTGTATTTATTCCTATTTCATTTAAATGTAAATTAATTCCATTAATATACATTTATTGTTATTTTGTTCCCCGCTTACTTCACTGTCACTCTCAGCAGCAGGGCACACAAAGGGCCAAAAGAGCCTCAGTCAGCAGCTACCATGGCGTCTTCTACAATATGCTCTGCCCTCCTGTACTCCAGAGAGATCCTAGAAAATCCTTCAGGAAGTATTCTGAGTAAAGCACTGACGCTTCCTCTAGTGTCAGCAATGGGAATTTGGGGGACAAAAAAGGACTATGGGACTGTGGGGATGGGAGAGAATAACAGGAGGCCTTTTAAGTCTCCTCCCCCCCCCAAAAAAAACTCTGCAGCAAAAATTAGTGGCTGCAGCAAGAAGGGTGTAATGCCCTCTGTCAGCAGATGCCAGATGGCCTCCCACCAGATCACATGACAACCATTTACAGAAGGCTCTGTGGTTCCTAGCGTCTTGAGTGCAGCCTCAGTTGGTGCCCTTCTGAAAAGTGGGAAGAACATTCTAAAACGGATCTTTGCAAGAGAATTCCTAGAAGCACTGAAGGGAAGAACATCTGTAGAAGCAATAGCAGCTGGATCAGTACTGCAGACTTTTCACCAAGGTTGTGTTGATCTTTATAAGGCTGTGGCAACATGAAGTGTTTCTTAGTGGGGGACTATACTGCCACCATTATTCTCAATGGTAACTGGAGGGGGGGGTTCCTGGGGTTTCTTGCCGAGTTGTGCGGTACCGCAGCAGGCTTTCAACTAACATAGACACTGTTCTAGATGAGCTATTTTCTGCTCAGCACCACGTTAGGAAGTCAGCACTAAGTAGCAGTAGAACATCAGTCACACAATTGGTCTATAGTGGAGTCTTGACTTGAGAATTTAATCCATACTGGAAGGAGGTTCTCAAGTCAAAAAGTCTGTAGGTCAAGTCTCCATGGACCTACAGTGCATTGAAAACCGATTAATCTCGTAACAGGCCGTTTTTGTTCCATTTTGGTTTTTTTCTGGTCTGTAAGTCAATTCTCAGTCTGCAAGTCAAACCTAAATTTTGCGGCCAGAGAAGTCTGTAACTCAAAAAAGTCTGTAAGTCAAGCCATCTGTAAGTCAAGGGTCCACTGTATCTAGCTCAATAATGAAGCAGTACTGATTACTAAGCAGTACTGGGGCAGCGCTCCAAGATTTCACAGAGGAATCTTGCCTTCACATACCCAAAGATGCCAGGGACTGAACTTAGTAACTTGTGCATAAAAAAAACAGTTGATCTATCATTGCTATCTTCTCTCAGCACACCGTAACACTACATAAAGGCACGATACAAACAATGCAAAGTTTATGTATCTTTCTAGCTTTGCTTTGAAAATGGGGAGGGAGCAGAGGAGGAGGGATAGCAGAGATCAGAAAAATCCTAGTGCCTTAACTATATTCTTAATAGGCTTCCTGTAGATTATCTCAACCATCTTTACAATCACCGTACATAGTCAATATTATTTCTTTACTTCTGATGGAATTATGACAGTGATGGACTGTCTTGTCTAATGCAGAGAAAATTAAGCTGGGAGATATGAGACGCACTAAACCTGTCTTTAACCTCAGCCATCCCTCCCTTTCTTTACCCAACACAACCATGTCTGATCATTGCGATGTAGTGAAGAAATTCAGAGCCCATTAAGGGTTTACATTGAAAGAAAAATGTAGGCATGATTAATGCCTCCAAGAAAAAGAGAAAAGAACGGATAAAGATGACATAATTATTTCAAGTGAAAGAGAACTTTAAGAATTTTTGGAGCATGGCTATTTTAGAACTGGAGCCAAATAATGACTGGAATTAAGACAAGAAAGCTTTAGCTGTAGCTATATCTACCCTTGCAGGCTCATAGCGGTCTACCTGCTGCTACAGTAAAGCAAGCTGCAAAAGAGATAGCTAGAAGTCATACATAGCACTACTAGGATTTAAGGTCCTTACCTATAATTCCACTGTCTTTGCTTTCCAGGGTGGAACTTGGGCTGCTAATGGTCCCACAGGGACTACTTTTGTTGGCTGCTGCCTTGCCAGCACAGCTATTCAAAGTTGAGCAGGGACTATCCGTGCTCGGTGACGTCGTGCTGCTTGTTAGTGTAGAACAGGGACTGACTCCTTGACTAGCAACTGTGCACTGCAAAATGAATGAAATGAAGCATTAACGTTGAGAGCACAGGATATCACTCATAACGAGGGAAATTAATATGAAGTAGAAAACCAAGGAAACACACATGCAGCTTTCCAAGAATGTTGGAAACACTCAGGGTAATGACGAAGGGCTGACTATTCAAAAAGTAAAGGAATGAACAGAAGCTAGTTTTACAATTTGTGTTACAGATTATTAGAAGCCTTCTAGTATATCACCCAGTCCCTCATGCCTTACTATAAAATACTCTCTCCTCTCACCATCCCATCAGATATCATCTTGACTGGGAAGACAGGTTGAAGTCAGAATTGCTTGCCAGGAAAAAGCTACTCAGTTAAATATACACATGCACTAAAACAGAGAGCATATGGAAAGAGGTTATGCCTGCTCAAGTATACAAAGAAAGGCAAATAAAATAGAGGGTTATTTAAAAACATCTTTAGCACACATCCACCAAGCAACACACCACCTACAGAGAGAGAGAGAGAGAGAGAGAGAGAGAGATGTTCACTTCATATAAGTTGTTACAAACAAGTACTGTTTGTTCGTCATACAGTCGTGCAGCGCTGGACGATTACCCCACTCTACGACGAATCCGCTTTAAGTTGATGTTTTTGCGATTGCTTTTGCGATCACAAAACAATGATTTAAATGGGGTTTTTTTGCTGTGCGATGATTGGTTCCCTGCTTCGGGAACAGATTTTCGCTTTACGACGATCAGCAAACAGCTGATCGTCGGGTTTCAAAATGGCCACAAAATTCGTCTTGCTAAAAGCAGTTTCCCATAGGAATGAATTTTTTTCATCTTGCAAGGCATTGGTCTTGAAAAAAAATCGTCTTGCGAACCACTGCCATAGAAGAAGCCATCTTGTGAGGCACCATAGTGATCACAAAAACCATTCGTCTTATGGGTTTTTCATCCCACGAGGCATTCGTCTTGCGAGGCACCACTGTGTGCGCGCACATGCGTGTGTGTGTATATATAGAGACTTGATTTTCCTCTTTTCCTTTTCCTTGTGAGAAATTATACACACACACACACACACACACAGAGAGAGAGAGAGAGACAGAGAAAGAGAGATGTTCACTTCATATTTAATTGTGGCCATCTCTGATGGCAGGGTAAAAAGTTACCTCAAAAGTTAGTTCTTAGAAACCCATCCTTCTTTATTGTTTGAATTCACTAACCAAAGATAATCACTTATTGGTACTCATAATGAATTTTGGCTCAGTTTAAAATTACTTTCTCAGAAGGAAAAGGGAAAAATCAAGTCTCTCTCTCTCTCTATATATATATATATATATACTGTATACACACACACACAGTGGTGCCTCGCAAGACAAATGTAATTCGTTCCGCGAGTAGCACTGTTTTGCAAAAAATTCGTCTTGCTAAAAGCAGTTTCCCATAGGAATGAATTTTTTTCATCTTGCAAGGCATTGGTCTTGAAAAAAAATCGTCTTGCGAACCACTGCCATAGAAGAAGCCATCTTGTGAGGCACCATAGTGATCACAAAAACCATTCGTCTTATGGGTTTTTCATCCCACGAGGCATTCGTCTTGCGAGGCACCACTGTGTGCGCGCACATGCGTGTGTGTGTATATATAGAGACTTGATTTTCCTCTTTTCCTTTTCCTTGTGAGAAATTATACACACACACACACACACACACAGAGAGAGAGAGAGAGACAGAGAAAGAGAGATGTTCACTTCATATAAGTTGTTACAAACAAGTACTGTTTGTTCGTCATACAGTCGTGCAGCGCTGGATGATTACCCCACTCTACGACGAATCCGCTTTAAGTTGATGTTTTTGTGATTGCTTTTGCGATCACAAAACCATGATTTAAATGGGTTTTTTTTTTGCTGTGCGATGATCGGTTCCCTGCTTCGGGAACCAATTTTCACTTTATGACGATCAGCAAACAGCTGATTGTCGGGTTTCCAAATGGCCACCGGCTGAAGAAAATGGCCCCCCACTGTTTTCTAGGACGGACTCCTCGCTTTACAGGCACCGAAAATGGCCGCCGTATGGAGGATCTTTGCTGGACGAGCAGGTATTCAGCCCATTGGAACGCACTGAATGGTTTTCAATGCATTTCAATGGTTTTTTTATTTCGTTTGACGTTTTTGCTCTACAGTGATTTCGCTGGAACAAATTAACGTCATCAAGCGAGACACCACTGTAAATTACTTTGAATGCAAAGAAATGGTAGCATCCCAGATTTAGTCAGAATTCTATCTATAACTAATTTCTACTATCATACCATAGTTTCATGTTTTTCTTCTGCAGATATATGGGCAGAGGTTGGAATTCCTTCTCCCAATAAAAATCCCAGTCTTGTCATCAACTCTTGAGCTGCTGGTGAACAGCTGGATTCTGTTTCTGATTTTGATTCTATGAAAGACAAGCAACATGAAAAGGAAGGCTACGGTTAGATGTTATATATGAAGAAAAAGAATTTTGTCTGAATTCTCTTCTGGACCAATAAGAATTCAGCTTCCAATAAAGAGGCAAATACAGAGCATGAAACGGGCATCTTGATGCGTTATATTGCCACTATGAAGCATTCCATCCTAGTACAGTAGGACCCCCTGTATCTGCAGGGGATCGATTTCAACCCCCCCCCATGGATGCTGAAAAACAGAGATTACAGCAAATATTATTTTAATAGTAAATGTTGTACAGTATATAGCATGGTCTCTGGGCCTCTCTAGTGGCCATTTCTGGTAACTTCATCTTTAGAAATTTGCATTTCTAGGGTTTTTCTACTATTTAATTTTCAAAAGCCAAGTCAAATTAAATGCAACACAGGCAGAGATATGCAATATAATCTAAATCTCCAGCAATTTGCTTTTTAAAAGATTGGCATCCGCACATGGCTGCTTTGAAGGCATGGGAAGCATTTTCTAACACAGATACATACATACAAACCTGAAATTGCTAATTCCATTTCCATCAATGAGGAAAAAACATAAAACATGTCTGTGCAGTACCTATTTGCTACCCCATGCTCGTGAATACCTGCTTCCAGGATAATTTATAGCAGGGGAAAGATCCAAAAAAAAAATAACCTAAAACATCTCTTCTTCAGCATCACTTCCTTTGTGGCTACTAATTTTTCCAACCCCTGGAGATCTACTGACGAAACTTGAATATATAGTGCATGTAAAGATGTTTTCAGACATTATGGAACAATCTTATAGTGTTAGGAAAACCATATGACTGATTCGTGAAATATGTTAGTAGACAATAACATACTGGTTTAAATCCATCAGTAAGTCACAATTAGAGCCACAGCACGCGCATTTGGTGAGCAAGTCCTCTGTAGGCTCAATTGGGTTAAGGAGTGTACTCTAGGGGTGACCTACTACTTAATATCAGCCACTGTCACCAAATCTATGTCTAATCTGTTGCAACCAACCAAATAACTTCAAAAGTTCTCAAGTTTTATGCAGGATTGTATTTTTACCCTTATTTTCACTGTTGAGTACTACTGCATTTTTATTTTTATTTTGTTTTATAATGTAAGCTGCTCTGAGAACGTTTGAAGCATTAAAGGGTGACCTGTAAATGCAGCAATGAAGAATGCAAATAAATACTCTTATTCCAGAAGTGCTTTCCCCTTAATTCCTGCATTCAAGTAGTATTGTAGCACAGAACAGAGATGACCTTTAATGAGGCAAACTGAATCTTAAATGAATCTCAGCAACTGGCTCAGAAGGAATTACTGGAACACAATTCCACTTGCCTGGAGAGGACAAGACATCTGCTTAATCTTGAGCTAAACTAACAACACAGCCTGAGTCCTCAATAGAAAGGATTTAATAGTTTTTCCAATATTCCTCAAATGATGAAACACCTCCTCCTTTCTCTCCCAAACATGTCTTCGAAACATTCAAAACATGTAGAGCATTATCTTACAAAGCAACAAATCCTTCTAAAAAATAATCTCCTGTGCCTTAATACCATTAATTAGGAGGTTGTATCTGTTGAGATTTTAATATGAAAATGTATTTAAAATCAATGTTGTGTGGTTAAATGTAAAATGGCTGATTTTACCTGAGTCACTGTACTGATTGTATTCAGGTGTGGGTATCAAGGATTAAGACTTAATGTTGTACAGCTGTGGTACATGATGAAACTTTGTGTAACAGAAAATGAAGTAATGTATTTTCTGATTGGTCACAGAACTTTACATAAGTCATGTGTAAAATGAACGTCTCTATCTGCTGTAAGTCAGATCACTTTTTCCTATGCTGTGTGTTGCTTCATGTCATGTTATGCTGCCAGAGGATTGTCTGTTCTCTATGTATATATGTAAATAGACTAGATTGTTGGTTTTACTCTCTCAGTGTCATAGTGTCATAAGTATTTCTGCTAACCAATACCTTACTCTGCTGATGTTAAGAGAATATACGTTATAATCAAAATTCTCAACAGTATCCTCTTTTAGCCTACTGGGAAAAGGACAAAATCTAACAGTGTTGGCCTCGCGGTTGCAGAAACACCAGCAGATCATCTAGTATAACACATAGTCTAATAACATGATTTGTTTATTTATAAGGTTGTAATGGCTTTTGCAACAACTTGCACAAGCAGAATTAATTATTGACACTTGCACAAGGATGAAAAGGATGCTGCAGTTAGTAGAACATTGGCACTAGCTAATGACACAAATGGAAAAAGCTCATAGAAAGTATTAGGTATCATTTGCCTAAGCTATCTGTATGATACAAGCAGCAGTAGTTCAGACCAAACTAGTCTTCGAAATGCCCATCTGCTAGTCTCTAAGCCACTGGTTCTTAACCTTTGTTACTCAGATGTTTTTGGACTGCAACTCCCAGAAGCCTTCACCATCAGCTCTGCTGGCTGGGGTTTTTGGGAGTTGAAGTTCAAAAACACCTGAGTAACAAAGGTTAAGAACCACTGCGAGTCTAAGCCAAACTCAACAGAAATACCTGTATATAAAATGTGTCCTTCACTCATAATATCCATGCACACTTCAAATAAGAGTCTGTTATCTGAGCAGCTTTATAATTTTAAGACATTTTGCAGTAACAACATTTCTGGTAAAAAAACCAACCCTCATATACTCTTTAAAAGATGCCTTCTAACAGTTATTTCAAAAGAGGTTAGAGATGATCACTATCAAGTAAACAGAGAAGAATAGATGAACTGGCAGACTCTTTTTATATACTGTAGTTATATTCTATTCATCTAGAAACAAAAATCCAAACAGAAAAAAAACTGGATCTGAATACAGAAATCAATCAATTGTTGTTTTTTTTAAAGTCAGCATTTATATACCAGATCAGTTTTTCTGCTTTCCCCCCTTCAGGTAATTGTATTTTTGGCCTGGTACCCTGTTTAGAACCATCAGGAACCAGAAATAAATCATTGGACCAATACAAATGCTATCCATCATAAAAATGGTGTACATTGTTTTCCTGCAGATCACAACCAGTTCATAGGATGGAGTTTCCTCAATCCCACCAAAAACATGTATGTGGGAGTCATTCAACAGGACTTACTCTGGGAACTGAGCAAAACATTGCTATGATTCCTCAAAGCCAATATTGCATAGCCTAGTATGTGCTAACATGACATTCAAAGGCCTTGAGATAATATGCACATGATGCTGAGTAGAATGAGTGACAGGACATTCATTCATGGCTCTCAGGGTTTGCCTGAAGTTGGGTTGTTGCAGAAGCACACACTACATCATAAATATACACATGGTAGATCGGAGTTACTATAGCTGGCCAGGCCACGTTTGAACATGTGGCTTGGTTTTTAATATACTGTAGACTACTGCCAAAAAAAATATGGCTACTGGGCATTTAAAAAGTTCCTTGCATTATATGATAGGTCACAACCATCAAGCCATTAGCCCAATATCTTTCCTTTCCTCCCCTTTTTTCTTATTATAAATAACTAGTGGCAAAGCTCTCACAAGGCTCCATAAGTGAGTTTGAGAACTGTAAGTGGAGGGACATTAATACAGAACTCTTTTTCATGATGTGTCAGCACAAAAAGAGTCATTTAAGTGGAAAATGTTCAGAATATTCATACTGTTCTGTGACACTTGCTTAATTCCTTAGGATATATAAAACAGGGGTGGTGAACCCCCCCACAAACCCCCACCCCACTGCTTCTCCTCACCAGCCCCATGCTGGGTTCTTAACAGGACACTGCTCTGTCCACAGAAAGCTATTGGAGGGAGCTTTGCACAAGGTGGAAGGAAGATGAGTACCTTTTTTTTTGTTCATAGCATTCTGAACCAAGGTAAGAATCACATCTGGGATTCCATCCATTCTGGACTATGGGCCTGACTGATTACAGGCAGAATGCAGGCAGACACACTCTCTCGCGCGCACACACACATACATACACACAAAGCAGGCTTTGACTGAAGCAATGAGGATTTGATAGGAAAGAGTTCCCCACCCTGACGTGAAATAACAGAATCTCTGTTTCTGCTGTTAGTTTCCAAGAACACTGATTGTTTGGGAATTCTGCCAAGCTAAGTAGGAGGGGCCAATAAACTGGTTTAAAAGCAAACAGCAGTAAACAACTAAATTGCACTTTTTAAAAAGAGTAAATTATTTGAGTTTTAAAAGTTCAATATACACAAGCAACTATTACAACACAAACTCAAAAACATGAGACAGATTTTGCTTCCACATTAAAAATCCAGTTTCGTGTTTATATGGCGATTTCTATATAAACAATTGAAAATAATGTGACTTCATGCATGAAGTATTATTAGTTTACCTCCAGAAACTTTACTGCAGTCATTTAATAGTTCACATGCTGCATTCTTGCCTAAGCAAAGAGTCCCTCTTTCCCTATATGTCTGAGCACAGAAATGTATGTGATCCAGATGAGTGCAGACATGGCCACCAACAGTCTTTACAGTGGCTGCTGAAGGTGCAGGAGAGGCACACAAAGAAATGAAATTGTACATTTCAGACTTCTGTGATACCTGGTTTTGTCTTGTGCAAAGAGACACCACTGTGTCTTACGTGAAATGACTGCTTTCTATGCAGTGATCAAGAGTTTTAAGAGCTATTTATTACTCTCAGAAATATAACTCAAAAAATAATAGTATGAACAAATGAAGTTAATACTAGGGAACATCCCCTAAAGATATTATCTGCCTATCCTCACCGCCTGAAAATCTATTTTCTTACTCAGAAACTCAGAAATGGTAATGACACTATACCTTCACTACATGATTTCTCTCTCCTTTCCTAACCATCAGTGCATCCTCAATACCACACATTTCCATTTACAGTGTTTATCTTCTAATGCGGGATTTCTCCTCCCTGCTTCTATCACTTATTTAAGCAGTTTAAAAAAAGAAATCCACATCTCATTCCCAGCACAAAATA